TTATTGCACATCCAGATGACTCAATCAAACTAATGAAAAAGACAACAAAAATGTTTGCGTGAATCTTCGTGTAAAATCAATGGGGTAAGACTTATATGTGCAATACTTATAGAGCATGGTCAATAGTAAATATGTTACTGACTTTATAGCAATGCCATGTCATCTATGGCCCATATTTAAAATGTATGTGGCTAGCGAGCGCCTAGGCGCTTGTTCGCAAGATCCAGCGCTCTTACTTTATATGGAAAATGCAATCGGTCCATCCATACACGCTTTCAGAAAAGGAAACATCCTGGTCCCTGCCACTGCCACTACCTCTCCCATGCCCACGTGACCATGCTATGTTAACAAAGAATTCAGCCTAGATCTTGTCCCACATGTATTTATTTGCGGCTCAAAACATGTTAAAAGTCGTAACTTTTGATTCAAGTGTCAAAATCCAGTTCCGTTTTCACCGTTGGGTTTCTCACGACGAGTTCTTCAAAACTAGATCCCATTTGAGTAGGTTTTGTCGAACTTTTTTTTAGGGCAACTTTGAGTGCTATTTGAGGCAACTATAATGCTATAGGGAAGCAACTTCCTTTTGGCCTAGTAGGATTGCCAATAAGTTGGTTCACGTAAAAATGAGAAAAATCACACAAAACACAAGGCACCTTTAGTGCTACATACAAATAAACTTCACTGCACTATGTGTACCTGTGAATTTTGCTAATACTATCCCAACTTGTTTATTATGGCTGCAGTTGTCTTTTCTTGATGGTCAATTGTCTATGGTTGATATAGGTTTCCTATAAGTATTATATATTGCCTACCATTGATGCCAATTGCCTGCTATTGGTAATTAGTTGCCTATCATTGCTGCTCAGTTGCTTAACTTTATAAAATAGTTGCCTATAATATTTTGAAGTTTTTTATCATTATTTTTCTAAGTTGCCTGCAAACACTCTAAAGTTGCCTAAATTCACCACCAAGTTGCCTACCATAACTAGCAATAATAGACACAAGAGCATTAACAGCAGACGACTTCATAGTTTTATAGGCAATTTATAAACAACAACATAGGAGCACAAACAATAGAAACCTTAGAAGCACCGGTAAAGAAGTTAGAAGAATGTTAGACAAAATTAATTAGGACACAAAATATAGTTAAGTTGTCTATTTTTAGCACTATAAAGATGCTTCTAGTAGAAGGAAAGTTGGTTATGAAGGTGATTTGATGTTATCTGCCTCTGTTTCAAAGTTGATCTCTATTACTACTTAGTTGCTTATTGTTTGTGATTACTTAATTTTAATGGAGTGAAGTTGCTTATGTTTAGCACTAAAGTTGCCTCATCTAGCATCAAAGTTGCTTTTGAAAAAAAATCAAGACATATCTAGGTGGGGTTTAATTTTGAAGAGCTCGTCGCGATCTGGCTAGCCAACACGTGTGCATTCAATAGCATTGGCGGGTAGACTCCCCCAGAAAAGGAAGGCACAAGGATCTCACACCATCCATCACACATAGTTTAGAAAATTGGAATCATGATAGACGACTTAGATCCCACAAAAACTTTTCGACATTGTAGTCAACTTAGGTCCTTTGATGGACAGCCTCCATAGTATTGCACGCAATTGAGGACAACTCATACGTAACTTCGTAGCGACGTATGTAAACTTGGTTTGTGAAGTAGACAACTTGGAATCCATGTTATGCAACTTTCCACTCTATGGTAAACAACTTTAACAGTATGGTAGGCAACTGAACTATTTACAACTTATTTTTTGATATGCAACTTAGCAACCATGTTAACCACCTATTACACTATTGCATACAACTAATTGGGAGGCTACTAGACGAATTCAGTTATATAGAAGGTGCAATTCATCTAGCATCAGAGTGGCTCATGTTTAGCACTAAAGTTGCCTCATCCAGCATCAAAGTTGCTTTTGAAAAAAAAATCCTTAAAACATATTCATATGAGATCTAGTTTTGAAGAGCTCGTCACGAGGAACCCAATGGTTAAAACAGATCATAATTGTGACATGTGGTTTAAAAGTTATAGTTTTTTGAATTTTCTAATGCTCGGATTAATGCATGTTACGCCATCGCTGGGTTCAGACGGTTGGTCAGATGAGGTGGAGAAAAATCAACGTATTGTACCTGAGGAATCTTTCCATATATAGAATGGGTGGGTGAGCAGTTTTCTAAATCTGGAACCGGTCTGTTCCATCGTGCAGTTCATGCGCGTGCACTCGCGACGACGTATAGCGCAGCTGCACTTTTAAGCATTTGGGTATTTAAAAAGGCTCATATAATAGAATGGTTGTATCATTGGCTATCCATTTAAGAGCAACTACAATAGGATGACATAGGCAAGCTATAAAACTTTAAATATTATATTTTTGATGAGTTGACGGAGAGAGAAGAGAAACGGACTACTTACTAACAGTTAGCTGTAGCACGTGCTCCTAGACACTCTGTGAGAGAGGAAGATGGACCATGTATAAAAAAATAGTATAAATTTATATGCATCTTATTATACTTGCCGGCTATAAGCTAGCTATAGATGACGTGGCAAAATCATATAACCAGCTCCTGACTGTACTATTAACCATGATCTAATTCTTGCATGCTGGAGGAGACAAAGGAAAGGCACATGATTGGGTAGGAGGAGCTAATTAAACGCCTGCTGTATCGCTCGCGTATGGGCTGCATCCATGCTCCTTTTACTCATTAAAAGTGTTTTATAGCCCGGCTTGCTTCTCTCTCCTTCAACTATGATTTTGCTTACATGAAAGATGCTATAGCACTAGGCTTTAACATACTTACTCTTATAATACTCACAATGGGGAGTAACATAAAGTAGTAACTTGTCGATGTTACAGTCTATGTTATATCTCCATACTGGGTAGTAACATGTGAATAGTATCATGAAATTTTTTATTTATTAGGCTATAGACTCATGATGCCTTGAAATGTGTGATGTTACAGTAACTTAAATTACCACAAACCCCTCCCTCCTTATTAATTAGCTGCCACAAGCAATTTTATATTGAAATGTGTGATGTTACTAGTTAAGTTACTTTCATTGTGGCTAGTCTAGATGTTACTAGTTAAGCATATCTAGATGTGTTTTACCAAAACTGCAATATATATTCGTAAATAGCAGGTGCCATGTTCAAAGCTGATGCTCAAAAAGTAGGTAGGCCCTACGTAAAAGATCAACATTTGGCCTGTTAATATAACAAAAATCTTCAACTTAGTAGACTGAACAAAAGTAGAGAACTCATCCGGTACCAGCTGGAGTCTAAAGTTTACGAGGAAAATGCTAGAAGAGCAACGCATAGTTCGGCCTAGAGCAACGAATATGAAACCATACGGTCACGTAAGCCTAGCTAGATCATCGTACTGGCATCATGCTAGGAAGCTAGGTCAGGTGCTAGCTACGTTGGGAGCTGGAGCACCGGTGCCGAGACCACCGCCAGCACCACCCAGAGCACCACCGGCACCACCAGGACCCCCGCCGACACCACCAGGACGAGGAGCTTGGCCCTCAGGTCTTGCCTCCTGCAAAATAAAACTACAGATCAGCCACATGGTAACGATTGCATACGTACAGTATGACTACCAATTCTTTGACTAATTCAGATTAAGCAGCACTGCCAATGGACCAGAAGGAAACTCGTGTGTCTGAAGCGTACCTTGAAGCGGCTGAAGCGTTCCGGCGGCGCACGGTTCTTCCGGTTCTCACGGGAGCGGACACGGACTTGATGCTGATGGATGGCGCAGGACACGCAATAATGCTCCAGGATATAAAGCTTGGGCAGAACGTAACCTGCAACGGAAACACTTCTATTACGCATCACGAGTTCGACACTTGTACTCCCTCCATTCCAAATTACTTGTCGTGGTTTTAGTTCAAATTTGAACTAAAACCACGACAAGTAATTTGGAACGGAGGGAGTAACTCACAAGCGGATCAGATAAGAGGTGCTGTATTTAATTTTCTCAACAAGTTTATCAGCGATCGGCAATTGCTGCTCGAACAGTTAAGAACCGGCCGAGAGAAGAAAACAAAGGAGGAACCAGGGCCGTCCAAGGGCCTGTGCGGGCTGTGCGACCGCACAGGGCCCCCAAATTCCAGGGGCCCCCGATTTTGGGCCAGTTTTTCGTATATTTTTCGTGTTGGGCCCTTTTATCACAACTAGCACAGACTTACGCCTGCCCAGCTAGTCCCTGTTTCTCTCAAACTGGGCCAGCCCCTCAATCTCCCAAAATAAGCCTTTCCTTAGTCCCGATCGACACAGCCCGCCGATCGAGATCTATCGATCTAGCCCCGCGCGGTCTGCTCGGAAGAGAAAAAAGGGCCCTCACGGAGGTGAACCGACGAAGTGCGGCGGCGGCGGCGGCGCACGGAGACGGAGCGTCGTTGTCACTTTGTTTCCTCCCGGAGAAACAACCGGCTGCCTTGCCGGCATGAAGAATTCATTCCACAGTTTTCTTTGTCACCGGTGTCCGAGACCTAGGTGATGGCATCCCCGATCTGTCCACAAGGTGTGCTCAAACTGATTCCCAATTTAATTTAGTGTTCTGTTGAACGATTTTTTTTTTGAAACTACCTGTTGAATGATTATACTAGTGAGTATATTGTGTGCATACGCTTCAGTTTATCAATCCATTTGTTTTAAAGAAGATATATAGTACTAGGCTAGTTGACCAAGTTGTCACACACGGCAAAGAGGAAGCGTACCGATGTGCAATGTCCAGCTAATGCACTGTGCAAGGAGTACTAGGCTAGTTCACCAAGTTGTCACACACCAAAATTTCCAAGCTAGTTGCTCGTTTAAAATTCAGGGTACAGTTTTTTTTATCTTGGTATAAGCCTATAATTTATGGAGTGTTTGAATTCATTCTTTTTCTTTTTATAAAACATTTTATATTTTTTAAGGCCTTATTTTGCATTTGGCACCGGGCCCCCGAATTCCTGGAGACGGCCCTGGGAGGAACTAAAACCGCACCTTCAAAGACGCAGGCGTCCTTGATATCTCTCATGCCTGCCGCCTCCACGATGTTCCTCACCTTGAACCTCTTGATCGCCTTGTCCTGAACCACCAAAGAAGGATATATACGGGTGTCCGTGAACAAGGAGAGGGTTTTGGACTAGGGCAACATGATCGATTGATGCAGCGAGATACAGGATCCAGCTTACCTTGGGGACGCACTTGGCGCAGTTGGAGCAGCGGACGAACTTGACGTGGCCGCGTCCTTGCTTGTTGCGGCCGCCGTTGCGGCGCTTGAAGGTCTGTGGTACGCAGAGCGATAATGGTTAGACGTACCTGCATGGGATAGCAGCCTAAACGAAGTTGACGTGACGACGAGGCTCTTACCATCGCGACGGCGCTAGGGCGGAGGCTCGAGGTCGGCTGCGGCGTCTTGGAGCTCCGATGACTCCGGGTCCTTGTAGGGTTTGGCCCCAGCCGCCCTGGTCCTTTTATAATCAGTGGAGGGACCGGCCGTATAGCATCCAGGCTGTCCGTTCGTGGATCGACGGCCCGAGTTGTGAATGGGTAGCTGATTGGTCTAATCGAAGGCGTATTTACTGCGTCTCCGCTTTGGCACTCTTCAACCCGTTCGAAGTGCTTCAAGTTCAAGGTAGCCCGCAAAAAAAAAGTGCTTCAAGGTATAATGGCATGTGCTGGAGAGTGGATCTCTTTTTTTTTAAAAAAAATATCAGACCTATTATAAAGATTCACCGGAAATACAAAATATCCCAAACATAATAAAGATTACATCGAGGTCCATGGACAACCGAAAAACCGTTGCCGCTGCCAGAATGAGCTGCCGATGCGCCGTTGGCGCCGCTCCCATACCGGAGCCGCTTGACCTTGTTGATGATAGCTGAAAAGTCTTCGTGCACGTGCCCCTAAGGACCAACAGTTGTCATCATTGAATCCTTGGATCGACCTGCACCGTTGCTTACGCACGAGAGAAACCCTAACCTCGCTGCTCTGAGGAGCTGGCAGGAATCTACGTCGGAGCGCTGTCTAATCTGTCCCACGAACGAACTTGAGAAGGATCGGATCCCGGAAGACTAACTTGAAGAAGATGCGCCGCCATCCGTTCGAGCGCCGCCCTTGTGAGAACCAACACCCTACCTATCTAAGCAGAGGCACGAGGAATACTCTCCCCGCCACCGGCCACCGGAACGGCAGGCAGAGGGGAGGCAAATCCATGGGCTCACCGGCAAAGATAGAAGGGAAGAAGGCTTTCCCTAGTTGCCTTGCAAGAGCGGAGAGTTGATTTCTTTCTCTCATGGAGCCATGTTTTTGAAGAAGAAAAATCAAAATCATAATTTAAAGTTTCATAAATTTTATAAAAAATATGCAGGAACATTGAGTAGTGTACTACATTTTTGTAATATTTTGTGATCAAATACGATTTTCTGTGCGCTGTATAAAAAACAAAATCATGTCTTTTTTCCATAGTTTGAATTACAATGTATTTTACCATGAAAATTTGCGGAGACATAGTATACATCCCTAGGTTCATGTGTAATTTTTTTTAAATGAAAACTTGAAAATAAAGTTTTGTATTTTATTTTTAAAAAATCTGGGCTCCATGGAGCCCGGGATCCAAAAGCAATTTCAGTTTGTGCTGGAGAGTGGATTTCTTGCTCCCGAGCTCCATGAAGCCCTACTTCTAAAAAAAATTGGAGCACAATTTAAAGTTTCAGAAAAAACTGAAAAAAATACACATGAGATTGAGTGTATACTATGTTTGTGGAAAGTTTCATAATCAAATATGCTTTTATGTGAGCTGTATAGAAAAGGCAGAATGTTAGACTTTTATTGTGAATAGTGCATATCCTAGAAGACATTGTTATTTTTTAGTACCTTGAACCACAATATATTTCGTCATGAAAATTTACGAAGATGTGGTATACATCCCTATAATAAAAAGAAACAGGCTCCATCCAAAAGCAATTTCCGCATGTGCTGGCACTTTTTAATTTCCTATTCCTTTTTCTTGTGTCATGGCAAGAGTCGTGAATTGATGGGGCGAAAGCCGAATGGAATTCTCTTTTTTTTTTTGAGAAACGCAAAAAGGAATTCTCTATTTGGCGCCTTAAGTACAAAATAAGGGCCATTCCCTAGCGAGCGCACAAGGGCTGAAAGGGTCGATCAGTAATGGCCCGGCCCATGTAGGGGTTTATCTTTGCACCAGTTTAACCAACATTTTAAATTTCATGAACATTTTTGTTGGCTTTGCTTTGTTTGGTTTTTCCATTATTTATTTATTTTTATTTTTTCTTTCTAATATTCATTTTCATTTCTATTTTATTTTTTCATTTTCAAATTTATGACTAAATTTCTTGAATCCGCAAACAATATAAAAATTCATGAATTGTTTTTGAAATTTTCCAATATTTTTAATGCCATGAACATTTTTAATAATGTGTTAAAATTTATAAAATACTTGACCTTTTCTAAAATTCGTGAAGATATTTTAAAATTCGTAAATATTTTTTTCATCCGGAAACTACTTTTTATAAAAATTCATGATTATTTTAAATTTCGTGGAAAAAATCAAATTCATGAACCTTTTTTTCAAAACCTTGAACTTTTTAAATCCATGAACTTTTTTTTCAAACCATGAACCCTTTCTCAAATTCATTAACTTGCATGCACGTTCTTGTAAACCTCTACAAGAGGCAAAGCCACTTCATGTGCTCCTTGTGGGATCTATAATCTTACTTCGAAAAATCTACAACTCAACTATGTGCACTTGAAAATCATCATTAGACTTGGTCGCAACGGTGGTGAGTCGACGACGAAGATACGTCTGTGGTGCAGAGCTGCTCATCTGCGTCATAGATGGAGGTACATGGCTCTTTCATCTCCAGTCTCTCTCTCGCTGCTCTCGGTTGCTTCCGACCCTCGGTTGACGGCTCTGATGAACCCGGGTGCGGGTGGAGCTGGCAAGGGACAGGGGAAACCCTAGTCGGTCCGTCCGGCCTGACGACGACAAAGCCGAGGGGTGTCATTTTCCTCCTTGGAGTTGCCGTTGAGGTCCCCTCTATCCACCCGGTTCCAGAATCCGCCTATTTTACTAGTCTCCGGAAACGGAAAACCTATCTCGGGTGAAAATCCAAAATACGACTAGAGTACAGTGGTGGCTGCATCGTGTGTGTCGTACCCTCCTTGAAGGCGTTGCCTGGGGGAAACGGGTTCTCGGGAGAGCAATCACGCAGGCGAGCTTGGAGTGGCTTTTTCGAATGATAAAAAACAGTGGCATTTTTCGAGGGGCAAATACCCAATCAATCCAAGTGTTACATGAGTTTTTTTTTCCAGGCAACATGGGACAAAGGTCAGCTGATTATCAGTTGACGGCATATCATAGTAGTACTACTTATAAAACGGGTAAACCATAAAGTAGCATTGTTCATGGTCCCCAAAATAACAAGTGTACCCCACAACCACAAACATCTCCCAACCATATGGCAGGATTCGGGGGTTTACAACGCAACAACAGAAGTTACAAAACACTCTCACACATGAATACAAAACACTCCATGCATGTACTTCTAAAGTACCCTTGAATAAGATCACCTTGCGATGTTTTCACAACGCAAGGCCACACTAACAATGATCAAAATGCTCAACTCCACAATAAGTAATAACTTATTTATGTCTACTACTGTGCTACTAGTATGAAGAGAAGGGGAGGCCTAAGCGGGTGCTGGTCAGCAGCAGCCTCAGAATAGCCGAAGGCCTCTTCTTTACTATAACGAAGAGGTTTCCTTCCTCTCTTGCTCAAGCTCCAAACCAATGCAAGCAATCCGTCCATCGACGAGAGGAGAAGTCGTCCAGCTCGCTAGAACTGGCTTCCTTCGAAGGTCTGGCCGAAGGACCAGCCGGCGGGGGCGACGTTGTTGCTGGTGACGGTGCGGCCGTCGCTGAGGGTGACCCGGAAGGAGAGGCTCTGGCCGTCGAGGTCCGCGTTGCTCTGCCAGTTCTGGCCCCAGTTGCGGGCCATGGCCTGCCACCCGGTGCTGGACCCCTTGATGGCCACCGACTGCACGTCGCCGGCGCCGGCCACGTTCGTCACCAGCACCAGGTTGAAGTAGGAGTGGCCGTTGATGGTGAACCTGATCCCACCCTTCTTCACGCACGGCACCCTGCAGCACAATCGGTGAAACACAAATCTTCAGTAGTGATTGGATCATGCAACTTGGAAGTTGGAACACATCATGGTGGTCAAGTGAGCGTGACGCCTAAACTATTTCGAAACAGCACCGAGAGTCGCTGTCAGACCGAACTGCACCAAATCTGCACTCTGGCCCACCTAACATGGTCCATCGACACCGACACGGGACCGGATTAAGGAAGTTTGTACACGCGAAAGGTTTGTAACTGGCTGGCTCACCTCCGGTAGGCGACGGCGACGATGCCGGCGCGGTAGATGCCGATCTGGAGGTAGGCCGGCTCGGCCATGTCGAAGTGGGCGCGCGGCGGGTTGCACCAGCCGCCGTCGTCGTTGGGCAGCGCGTAGTTGGGCGGGCAGAGGTTGGTGGCGGTGATGGTGATGCTGCCCGGCAGGCAGGAGCTGCTCACGTCCTGGCACTTGAGCTCGTAGCACGACCCGCACGCCGCGCCGTCGTTGAACAGCGCCGTGCTCAGCGCCGCCGTGTTCGTGCCGTACCCCGTGCTGTACAGGTTCCCGTACCCGCACGCGCCGCCTGCAGGTGGACACTTCAGTTAGACACTGTTCTACATTCACTCATGTCGGGAACCACTCACATACAATACAGGTAGGTATAGGTAGGTGCTTCTTTTTTTGCTTCAACAGTGTAATAATACTCCTGATGAAGATGAGCTCACCCATTGTGCCGGACGCGTCGCCGCCGCCATAGAAGGTGGCGTGGGCGCTCTGCCACGACCCGTAGTCGCCGGCGGCCCGCCGGGCGAGGAGGCAGAAGGCGGCCGAGAAGAGCAGGAGCAGAGCACTGGCGGAGGCCATTGCAAAGAGCTCGAAGCTAGCTAGCAGCTGGTGCCTTTCTAGCTCGGTAAAGCGACCGACCGAACTTGCTGAGGAACCGATGGATGGTTGCTTGGCTGTGAAGAGAGAGCTGCTACCGGCTAGGTATTTATAGGCGAGCCGGCGAGTGCTCCTGGCCGTTGGAATCGTTAGTCGCTTTGCGGAACGGCAGAGAGAGAAGAGGGGACAAAAGTCGGAGATGGAAGTGGGGACTGCGTAGCGTATCCATCCCCGGCCCGGCCCCGAACCACCGCCGACCACGAGCGGCCACGACGGCGGTTAGCACATACGAATCGCGCGCACATGCGGGTGCTCGTCACCGCGGACGCCGCACACAACGAGACAGCAACCGGTCGTGTGCGTACAGTTCATGGCCAGATTAAGCTCGCATGCCCACATGGCCACATGGCTCCCACGAGCTACAGGCCATGGATTTCGCCACTGGGAAGAAGAAAAACAATATGGATCCTCTTGATTGATGCATAACCATAAAATACAAAGATTAACCATGTGATCGTGTGAACCTGATCGGCATATATCACGATCCAATCAGGATCAAGATGCTGCTGCTAATGAACTATGCATGTTCCCGTCGCCGTCTGGTAATTCAGTTATAGGAGTAACATGCATGCCATGCCAAACTTTTACTACGACGTCTGGCAGGGACAGGATGTCGAAGTCGCGCGCAACAGTTTGATGCGACGGCCGACGGAATTCGAAAGCCTAAAGCAAACCCACTTGCTTAGTGATGCTCGATCGATCAAGTTGCACGTAGATTAATATGGGGAGCGGAAAGAGGGCGCATGACAACCAATCGTCCCGGAGTGTGAAGCATGTTCCTCCTCTGGACGTACGCCTTTCCCCTTTCCAACGGTGGCGAGGAGATTCGAAACTTGCGTTCTTCAGTTAGTTAACTTTTCGTCGGTTGTAACCTCCGGCCACCCGGAGCCTGTCGCTCTGCTAAAGTTATATGAACCTGAGATCTGGCTGTCGGGTGTGGAAACCAACCACGGAAGAAACATCGGATTAGACACGCGAATCATGGGAGTTCTGGTCCTGAGACAGATTAATCTAACGAGGTTAAAATGCCACTACCCTAGCACTTGCAACATGCATGCCCAGCACTACCGGTCCAACACCAAATGATAAGCTCGGAGTTTTATATGGCGTGGTTGGTTGATAATTTACAGGGTTCTCGACTTCCACATGCATGAACATGGCCACGTACGTACGCGGACAAAGGAGTACATAAATCGGTATCTTCAGACCAAAGTGCAGATGCTGCGGCTGCATGCGCATGCAGGTGTGTCATGCATGTGCATACAAGATCTCGTCGGCGCTTCCTCCGTCCTGCGCGCCAAGTGTCAAACGGATCGGTGGCTGCAATCAACGCACCAGCCCTTGCTCCAAACCTCTACTCGATCTACTCCGACTGTTATATGTCAATGCTGCTATAAATTAAGCAGGTAACCTTCGTGTGATGCAAGGGTCGATGCACAGGAAACGTTGGTTAGTGGCTACCCAGATGGGAAAGAGACTTTGGCGCACCGGTTGACCTGCCGCTCATGCATGCTCTGCACGTTTTGTGTAATGCACTTCTGTACTGTACCTTCCTTTTAGTTGGTTGTGCCTCACTGCCTCGTGCTTAAAACTCAGCTTATAGCATTTTTTTCACCTTCACAATGGGTACAAACTCCTTCGGCATATGGTAACTAGTACTCCCTCAATAGAAGAGCGTTTACTACTAAAGTAGTGATCTAAACGCTTTTATATTTATTTACGGATTGAGTAATAAACAGCCAAGTAACTGAAAAATACGCTAGCGGAACAGGTAAATGATTTGGAACCGTCGGCGTCTCATCATCATCACGTATTAGTAGAGGATATACAGGGAGGTGGCCGTTAGCTTTCCTGTCATAATCTGTGGCTTTCAGAGATAACATGCGCGCCGAGCGCCACGCTTTCACAAAAGCAATAGTCTCACTCTCACTCTCACGGCGGCAGCGACTAGAACTAATTAACCGTCTATTTCCTGGCCCCCACGGCGCCATGTTACTCGCACATGCATGGCCGCCCGCCCATCACCGCCGAGCTCCTGTCGCTGGAGGATTCGCCTTATCTTGGAAGCATTCTGCAATTTCCAACATCATCAGCGGCTTCATGATTTTTAAAAGTGTTTTCATTAATACTGATGATCGGGTGAGCCCATGCCAGGTGCTCTGTTTGTGATGCTGCTGGGTGGTGGAGTGTTGGATCTGGGTCGGAGCCTCGGAGGTGAGGTGCAGCGAGCTCTGTCTCCGACAATGCTAACGGACAATGGGGTTTGCACGGTGGAGTGTGTTCAATGTTCGTGGGATCTGTAAGTCTAAAACCTTCGACAAGTATTGCAAACTTATGATTTCAGTTACTGTTGTCCATTCTGCCCTTTTATTTTTAGTTTTATAAACCTTTCTACTATTGTACACAAATGGCACAAAGACTGCTTTTCAATAACAAAAACATGACATGGGCAAAAGTAGAGGTAATCACGCCTCATGTGTCCCTCCCTCCTCATGGGCGACTCGGGCGAACCGTAGTCGCCGCCCTTCTCTTGAAACAGGCATTCACCCGCTTTATAGATAAAACAAACACCACATTCATACAACAAATTCAAATAATGATAAAATAAATATAAGTCCACCGAGGCAACAATACAAGCACACCTTATTAAAAAGAAGAAGAAAGGGCCACCAAGTGGGCAGCAGATCAGTAGCTAGGTGACATCTCGCAGAAGTCAACGCATCAACATGTTGTCTACACGATTTCAGACTTGCTGCCAAGAGCTATGCTGCAAAAAATCAGAAATTTGAATATAGAGTCAGTGGCCAGTCATAAGAAGACCCACTCAATAATCATCTTGTTACGCGTCATCCAAAGGGTCCAGATCATCGCTGGGAACACTTACCAAAAGAGGCGTCTCCTCCTCCCGGTTCAGTTAGCCCGAGTTTCCAGGAACTCGGACAGGTCGAGGGCCTCCCATTCAAGACACAACACCTCACGGACAAAGCACCAAAGAAAACGGGATAGCGGGACAGACGAAGAAGATGTGTGTCCCAGTCTCCGAGACACCACAAAAGAGGGCACAACCAATCGCTAGGCCCATGCCACTTGGCCAACTTCATCTTCGATGGAAGGCAATCGCGCGGAAGTTGCCACACAGTGATATTTGATCTTCAAAGAGAGATATGCTATCAACAAACGTGTGGTCAAAGCGAGAGTCGACTCGCCGCACAACGCTATATGCCGAGCTAATCGAGAAGAGCCCCGAGCCAAGCACCAAGATACGGTGTCAAGATAGTCCAGAAGCATCAGCAGGAGAGTCGCTCGAAGGTTGGCCCAAGCTACGGTTTCCTTGGGCCCAAATATTTTTCAGACGTTCCAATTCCCACTATGAATGGCAACCAATATTATCAGATCTGAGCAGATAGTAAATAAGTTTGGGAACTAAACGCAAAAGTGGAGATCTGCACAACCATGGATCAAACTAGAAGAGGATCCAATCTCCATTTCATGTGAAGACGAAAAAGTCCAAGTCAAATCTCATGCTTGATCGACTTAGACTTCCAGAATTGGGCCCTACGATCACAAGCGAGAAGAGGGCAGCCCTGCAGGTACTTCGCTTTAATAAGATGTAACAACAAGCCCCATACTCCCTGAGAACCCTTCATACCCACCACAACATAAGGGACACATTCATGCGACGGGACACGAGCATACCTAGACGACCCAGGTCCTTCGGCAAACAGGTATCTGCTCACTTGAATATATGTTATTTCTGGTACCCGTCCACTGCCTGCCAGAAGAATGGTGATAGATCCTTGTCAACGGTGATATGCACCCCTTTTGGAAAAATATACAGCCCCTTCATATACATGGGGGCTAGAGAGACATGAGTCGATAAGCATCGATTTACTCCCTTTGGAAGTGAATCTCCCGCACCATGGCTCTGACCGAAATACAACCCATCTTGGAAGCGGGTCGAAATCCTGAACCAGGATCCTCGAGTCAGATGGCAGAATCCACAAGTGCATAATGCGAAGGAGGACAACCCACAATTGAGGTTGTCTGTAATCTGTTGTTGAACCTCGGTCTAGTACCCCATAACCACAACCTCACTCTGATCAAAATTGATATTGAGGCCGGACATGGCCTCAAAGCAGAGGAGAAGAAACTTGAGCTTGATGTAGTTCCAACCCCTCTACCATGTTCATGGTCTCATCGGCATACTAGAGGTGGTAACACCGCCTCCATTAACAATATACACAACCACACCTAAGATGTGGCCAACCATCCTAGCCTTTTCCAGGTTGGCCACCAGGGTGTCCACCGCAAGGTTAGAGAGAAGGGAGAAATAGGACCCCCCCCCCCCGGTGTCTCATCCTATGAGAATATCTAAAATAGGGCCCCGCCTCCCCATTAATGTTAATCACGATGGTACCACTCCTGATGAACTGCATGGTCCAACAACATCAGCAGTCATCAAACCCCCTCCGCTTAAGAACAAGGCAGAGGAAGAACCAGTCCAGACGGTCGTAGCCTTTTTGGAAATCTAGCTTGAGGGGTACTCCTTTCTAGTGATGTACCTTAACCTCATGAATAATTTCATGAAGAACCAGAATCCCATCATGGATACGATGACCTTTAAGAAAGACAAACTCGTAGAGATGAGAGAGGCGTTCCACCATTGAGCGAACCGCATCGCACACACCTTAGAGAAGATTAGTTGTAGAACATTCGTTGTCGTGATCGGCCAAAAGTGTCGGATCTTTTCATACCAAATAATTTGGGGACCAGGCTAACCACATCATACTTCAAGCGAGACATGTCTAGTGTTCAAATGTAAAATTCTTGGAATAAAGGCATAATCGCCGGATGAAGCTGCACCCATAACTTCTGGAAGGAGACCAGAAGGCTATCCCCCCAATAATTTACAAGCCTTCATC